AAAGGTGTTTTTTTCTGTGTTTTGCCAGATACACAAAAGCTTGTCCGGACTACTCCTCATTAACTACTGGTGCAATTTTATCCAAACTTTACAGGAATGAGCAGTACCAAGTCTAGTTTTGCACTGTCCGTCTGTCTGTCCGTCTGTCACAAAACATGTCCCAACATGAAATTGGCCATCATGAGGCGACACATGTGATCACTGATCGCTCTTGTTTAATTTCTCAAAACTTCTTATTTTAGGTGTCCTGTTATAGTTTCTAAAACGTTACTCCTTGGATAATTACTTAAACTATCTTTTGCCTCTGCTGCTGTTTGGCAATGAGTACAGTTACAGTAATTAATGTTGTGTATGAGAGTAAAAATACTACTTTGTTTATATTATAACAAATAATTTTGCATTCGGCGCTACTTTCATTCTGACGTATTATGTGCCTTTTTATATATTCATATGTTGTAGTTGTTGCTGTAAGTGTCCATACATGCAAATTTTACCAAATAATAATGAGTTTTGAATTATAAATTGTCCATACATTAGGAGACTTTGCTATAAATCATTGAAAAAGAACTTAATCTGCCTTATTAAGTTTCCTTAACCCCTTACTATAGCTTTATATCGTAACTCTTGTTTGCAATTAAATTATAGAATATATTCAGAACAAAAATAAACGAAAACAAACATCTAATTGCCGATGTACAAAAGGTGATTCACAATTCCCGCATGAGAAAATGCGAATGCTTATAAATTCTAAATAACACTATCATTATACTTAATGTTGCATTCTTCTGAATATAATTCTCGAGACCTAGTGTGGTATATTGTATTAACCGCTGCGATCCTTGAACAAGCTGAATCAAACCAAAGCTGCAACGGATTAGGAAAGAATTGCTCCACAATCATTTGCTTTACACGGCGTTATATAAATAGTACAATTGACTTCATTCCTACATCATCCCGGCTGATTGGCTGATTAACTTGACAATATAGTTCTGATTGTCCTCACCAATCTTTAAAATGTGTTGGTAGAAGATAACGTACTTACTAATTTTCTTTTTCTTTCTACATTTATCTGAACTAAATTACATGTTTCATTAAATTAATAGATACATCGGGATCTGTTCTTACGATTTTTTAAAAACATATATCGAAAATGGAGAGTAAATTTCTGATTATGTTACAAGATTGTCACTTTAAAACGATTTAGACTCTAAAAAGAGTTTCTAGTTGCTATGCTCGTTTTCAATACAGAAATGTAATACTTGTTTAAGCATGTTATGTTAAGTATCATCAAGCACTCCTGAACATTTTTAATATATTATTCTTTCGTCATACCTTTATAACGAATTGTTTCTATTTACTTCATTTTAATTGTAAATATCTTCTTGTATAAACCAATATGTGAACAAACATCTGCTTACTTCCCGGTCTTGAAGTATTTTGTTCGTTTATAATCATTTCCAATAAATTTATAAAATAGTGGTTATTTCCGAATTTATTATATTAAAGTCAAATCAACTGTAAAAAAAGCTTAAACATACTGATATGTTTCGTTTACACTATATATATGCTTGTGTTCTTTAATTTTATGCTTCTTACACTATTTAAGCAACATTTTCAGTTTAAGTTCCGCCAAAAATGTAGAACCTTTGGGATCTAAATAAAATTCTTTTCGCTGTCTTTCTGGTAACAGCTTATTATGACATATCGCTAGGAAATATATTAGTGATAGACGACAATGCTTATTCTAGCAATAGGAAATTGAAGCAATTCTGTTTACTCTAATCGTGTCTTGAAGGAACGTCTCGTTCGTTTCCGATGAATTGTGTACCAATTATTTAGAAATGAAATATGAAAAACAAGATCAACAAGGAAAGGCGGCGTTCAATGAACGCAACCCCCCCATGACCCAGCAACAAGAACCAATGGCAAGGAGCCCAGGCGGACCCCAAACATAAAAAGGACAGGGAAACGACACGTTAATCATTAAATGATACATAATTTGTAACTGATTTGGAATTCAAAGAAAATAATAATAGGCCCACAAAGGGGAAGGGGACAGGAGACGGCGGGAAGGGGGGGGGGTTAATCAAAGAAATAAAAACTAGAGACAATGGGGTAGATACTTACCGTAGACGAGAAAACAACAAGGGACACAAGCAAAAGTGTCACCAAAACAGCACGAAACAACATAGACATACATCTGAGGAACACAGTTGGGCGCCGCCTTGGAACGGTCAGCAGCATAATAATGACTGCTGGGGAGTTTAAACCGGTTAATGGTGCACCAAACCTCGCTCTTAGCCCCACCATGTTCCTATAAACGAGACAGTGTAAATAAAATGAATCCCCGCCAAGTGAAATTCTAACAGTTGTCATGGTTACAAAAGGTAAAATAAGTAAAAACACTAAATGATCATGTAGAAACATATAAAAGTAAACCCAATGACCATAACAAAAGTACTCAATGTCCTAAAGGAAGACAGAGCAACAAGAAAATCACCTACAAGGGCCCGACGAAGCAAGGCAGAAGACAAACATTAAGACAATCAGTCCCAAAGGGCTTTACGAACTATCCATCATAGAGTCTCCCACTTGGTCCGTCAGATGCAATCAAAAGAGGAAAGCGTAGTGTCCAACTGTAAAAGGGTTGAACACTAAACATGCAGTATGTCTTAAAATAGTAGGGTCATAACCTCTTTTAATAAAACGTTTAATGATTTTAGCAAAAACAGCAGAAAAATTACCATGACCCAAAATCTTACGAAGTTTGTAAACCACATCGCCATAAAAACCAGGCTGGCTAATCCCTTGTCGCAGAAGAGTTTTTAAATCACTATTGAATTTAGAAATTAAATCAAAGTTACGATTGTAAAATTTAGTAAAATATTTCCGTAATTTATGATAGCGGTAGCCCTGTTTTAGAAGCTTGCTGGTAATAAAAATATTCCGCTCGTTGAAATCCTTTACGTTGTTACAAGCTCTAGCGAATCTAATTAACTGAGAAACATAAACCCTGTAGGATGTTGCATGGGGTACGTCTCCATCCAAATGTGGATAATTAACTATACAAAAGTCAAAGTCATCTCTTTTATCATAAATTTTCGTGTGAATAGAATTGTTGTTGATAGTAATATGAAGATCCAAAAATGATGTACTAAAATTTCAAGAGTTCGTTTTGTTAAGTTGTAGTTCATGCGGATAAATGTCAGACACCATTTGATCAAAATAAGGATTATCTAAATTAAAAATTTCATCAAGGTATCTGGAAGTATTATTAAATGCGACTATAACATCTTGTTGTTTCTCTTCAGAGAGACTCAACATAAAGTCTCTTTCATAGCAGTACAAAAACAAATCGGCGACCAGGGGTGCCACAATTAGTACCCATAGGAATTCCTATGATCTGTTTAAATAGGGTATTACCAAACCTGACATAAATGTTGTCTAAAAGAAAAGAGAGTGCTCTACAAACCTCGTCACAGGTCCACATAGTATAATGTTTAACAATACCGTTAGTAAAAAAAGCTTTGTTAGAATTACATGCTAGAAAGGTAACTTTTTCCCGTGCAAAAGTTTTCTGAATTAGGGAAATTAGTTTATCATTGATTAATTTATGTGGCAAAGTTGTATAAAGTGTAGAAAAATCGTATGTACTGACAGTTGAAGCTTGAAAGTTATTAATTTTGAATTTATCCAAGATTTCACCAGAATTTTTAATTGACCAAAAGAGATGTTTGCCTGTTTTTTTCATAGACTTTATCACAATATCTAATTACATGTGTTTTAATGGCAGTCAAACAAGACGTCAATAAAATAGAAAGTTTACTTGTAGTGCAAGATGTAGAATTAGCAATAAATCTGGCTTTGTAAGGTTTTTTATGTAATTTAGGAATCCAATACATAATAGGAAGTTTGAGTTCTGTTTCATTAATTTGGACTTTAAGATTAGAAATATTAGTAAAATGATTGTTTACAATGTCTTTTTCGGAGGCAGAGGTTTTAGAATACGCATTAGTGCTATTTAGTTCCTTATGCAAAACGTTAATGTAATGGATTCTGAATGAACACTGAATGAACACTGTAACAAATTTCAAAATATCAAAATCATAATTTACATGTATCATATTAACAAATATAAGTTTTAATAATGCAAAAATTGCACATTTTACTTTACATGAAATGATATGTAAATCTATATATTGACTGAAATGTTTTATATCTTTTTTATTTAAGGAGTTATTGAACATTATCAGAAAATGAAAAACATAAAATGTGCATTGCCCTTTTATAATCTAAAATAAACTAGTAATTCAAAAAAGTGTTTTGATAAATATGACAATGCCAAATGCAAATATATAAATGTTTGTTCTTAAATTTAATTCAATATTTTAACTTACCTGTATACAATTTTACTCTCAGAATGTTGGCGTCTGAATTATACAGAAGCTGAGTGTAAACGACAATTCCAATTTGTTTTAACAGTGAGTAAAATAGGCCGCATGAAACAATTCACTTTTATTGGTACGAAATCACATAACACTGATACCAACACAACTTCTATCACATTTAACTAATTCTTTGTCAAACATTATCATCTGAAAACTTTTTATCTTATTTTTTACTTGCCCGGATAATTATTGGTCTCTCGGGGGTTTCTGTTTTTCTTTTTTTGTCCTAACAGCAGACTATTTGAAACTAAACTTTTTCTGTAACATATTGTTATAAATCTGTCAATCTGTGAAGCCAATGTGATTCTTATCTATATAAGAAGGTATATTGTGGTAATAATTCCTTTAGATTGAATGATACAACTGTTGCAGCACACACAATGTATGTAGCATAAATTGGGAGAAAATAAACGTACAACTTCCGGCGTATTATGCCTTCATCAGAGGTGTATTACTTGTATAATGTGCACACAATTGAGCACAGAATCTCTGAACGTCTGTTCTTATATTATCAAATTATCATTTAACTAGTTCATTATGTATGTCTTGCAGGTGACGGATCAGTAGATTTCATCCCTGACTATCTGATGGAAGTCAGCTCACCAGACTTTGACTTAAACACCGCAAAAGAATGGTTTGACCTTGAAGATACAAATGGTGACGGATTTGTGTCACGTGACGAGCTTATCGCTATCGCAATGAAAGTGGGCATGCCTAGAAAGGAAGCGGAAAGAACAGCAGTTGGCTATTACATGTCAGCTGATAAAAATGGCGATAACAAACTCTCATGGGAAGGTGAAGATCTTTATGTTAATTCAATTATCAGCGTTTACTCGTTTATCCAAAAATGTAACAGTTAACATTATGCAGCTTATCATTTTGTAATATTTAAGTTATGTTAAAATTCCAAAGTTGCAGTAACTGATGTTTTATCACATATATTAACTGTTCTATATTGTTTTATTATGTTGATGTAAAATAATTGATATATATTTACATATGCAATAAAATATTATCAAATTATTTGTTTCAGAGTACAAACCCTTGTTCCTGGCAAAGTAACACTGAACAACAGCTCCCGGTGGTTACAGTACATCGGTGACAAAGACACTTTTGCACAAGTGATTAAATGCACAAACAGTATTTTTTATTTAAGAAACACATTTCGATGCAGAACATAATTTCGTGCTTAGAAATATTCTTTCAACGTCGCATAACTAAATTACTTTATTTATTTACTTCTATTAAAACAAAATACTTTATACACCTCCCTATAAAAAATTTTATACTTTTTTTCTAAAATATTTGATACATTTCTCTTATGATACATAGAATTAAAGATTATACCCGCTTATCTCTTTGTTTGTTTATTTCAAGAAGTCGACAGAACTAAAATCTATTTGACACGGCGTTGCTAACATTTTTCCAAAGCCTAAAATCAAATGCTTATTATTATTATAATGACAATGTTTGTAAATAATTGCATATTTGCAAAAGCATTCAGCACAACTGAAGTTTTGCCACTTTTCGCTCAAATATGGCATCAATTAAAATGTGTCAGGGTGTAAAAGAAGGAATGTAAAACTTGAAGACAAAACATACAAATAGACAAATGTTGAATCTAAAGTGATGTTATTGTTTTGTTTTGTTTGTTTTGTTTTTGGTATAAAAAAGACACTAACAAACAGAAGTAGTGTTATAAAACTGTTTAACTACATGAGTATTCCCTAGAAATTGAAAGCTCCTCTATCGCATCTTTTTTTCTATGATATCAGAAAGCATGTTGTGTGAATCTATTTTGTTTACATACAGTTTACATTCTTGGTAATAATATTCTCACGCCTTTGGGATTCTAGCATCTGTACATACTAAGTAATGATTATTGCTAAAGCAGGTGCCTGAGGTGTGAAAGAGGATTCGTTCTTCTTTTTTGTCTCGAGGGATATCAACTTGAAGGGGCATTCATTGTTGTTATCCTTACAACAGCAAGTGTATATATATTGTAAATAAAGTTTTATGGTTTCCTTTGTCCCAGGATGAAAACAAAAATTAAAGATATTAAAGATTCCTTTTCCAAAGAGACGGTTTATTATATTTAATACCTAATAAGCATTTTAAAGGTCTAAGATTTGTAAAATTATTTGTTTTTCTTCAATTTTTTTACTTGATTAATTCTTTGAATTTACATTATAAGATTCTTTGGAAAGTCTTTCAGCAGGACTCTTATAAGTAATCCTTTCTTGATTTAGTTTTTAATATCGTTTTTATGTTCAGATCTTACTATTTTGAGTGATTGTTTATTTATATTATTAGACGCCGCGTGCTAACGGCGGCTAGTAACTTATGCATTCGTCTATTTAGGAATTAGAAAAATTTAAGTCTGGCTTTTGTTTACTACAAAATCGCACTGGTTTCATATTCTCTAATTCAAAAAGCGTTTGTGATGTACAACATGCCACCGAGCTTTAATGAAGTAAAATAAACGTTTAACTGAAGTGATAATGCCATGTTTGCAAATCATATTCTTTTTATTTTTATCCATTTTTTATTTACGTAATAAATAAGGTGTAAATGAGCTGGTCTATCTTTTTTTAAATTCTGACAGGGAACAACAATTATGACTAAAATACGCAACGGAGATTTTTTGGCACAACGAGCGCAACGGACATATCTTTTGCAAAACAGGTACACCGTGTGCCTATTCATGAAAATAATTAACATTTAAGTTATAAATCAAATTAACTGAGTGAAAAAGTACGATGCTGTCCGGTAATCTTGCGCACCTAAGCATTTATCAGCTAATTTACTACGATTCAAATAAAAACAAAAAACTCATAATTATTTTCCTATCTGCAAAAATCTTTGAGACATATAATGACAGAAATATTTTTTGGAAATAACTCATTGCACTTCAGGAATGCAACAATGTAAACACTCACCACCATGTTTAATCCCAACATTTATTTGTCCGGTGATCTTGCGCATGTGTTATGAATGACGTCACGGTAGCTGATTTTTTTATGTATGGTGTCCCAGTTATACTATCAATATAAATTTTGTGAGTCCAATTAATGAAAAGCTAATTTAAACTGTTCAAACTGTTCAAACAAAACGATAACACAATTTATTTACATCAAGGGTTTGTAATTTTACTGTTCACACCTGGGACATCTGAAATCATCACAACCAGTCAATGTCTCAATTTCTGAACAGAATTTCAGATGCACCCATTGACTACACACAGTACAATACCAGTTAACAAATTCAATGCTCTTTTCTAGACCCTTTTACGCTTCCGTAGGAAAAAATTGAAAAGCGCGGGAGGGGCCATTTTGACAAGATGGCGGGAATCGGCAGGAGATAACAACTGAACACACCTTAATTTCCAAAGGGAAAAAAGAAAATTTACAACGTTTTATCGGTGCAATACTGCTTTAAAATGTGTGATATAGATTGTTTTGCTGGACGTAAGATTTTGTAACTGGATGAATAGACAGGAATTTAATGGGAAAATAGGTCAGTGCGCGTGTTTATGAATAAATAATTAGGATGACGAAATAATGTAAACAAACATGTTTGACAGATATTTTTTTAACTTTCTTAACTTGTTGTAGTTCAAAGTAAGATCAAGTCACAAATTTTGGCTGAAAATTTCTAGCGACAGCATAAACAAACAGCCAAACGAAAGGAAATGCCGAGTGCGCAAGAACACCGGCCGCGCAAGATCACCGGACATGAAAAGTTCTGTTGAAGGATTATGTGACGATTGTTCTCTTTTGCTTAGATTTGTTTATTACATTTCGTGGTTCTATACCTAAATTCCATAAACAAATATGCAATGTTTTGTTTAATCGCATAGTAATATATTTATATTTTTATATAAAAAAAGTTACCAATACGTTACTAAGAATTGATCATTCATTCGAACATTATGCAATTCGCACCAATATTTCGACCCGATATTAATATCTTCACCTACCAGTAATACCAGTAATTTCATTTTTACTTATTTTCCAGTTGAGTTTGCCTCCATCAGACCTTTCAATCTTTGTCGCAACAGACAAACATTTCAGAATTTCCGACATGGCATTACTTTAAGAATTTATGCATTAGTTTCTACTTTTTTTTCACAAAAATATGCAACTAAATAATTCAACAACGGGCAGATACCAAGAACTTGAAGAAAATTCGATAAGTGCTTCGGACATTCAACTGTAATAGAGAACAATTTTCAAGGCTGACTTTGTACATTATCTTTGACTGTTCACATCATTTGGCGGCGTCTTTGATGTGCAGCATCAACATTTAACTTGTATTTTACTTAATCCATATTCACTTAGTAAGATGACACAAAATAGAAGTACTCGTGTACTGGAAACATACATGACCTCTTTTGCCCCATGTCCTAATTCAAACAGTAATTACCAAAATATGTCATCAGTAATGAATAATTTGTTCCATTCTCTCTTTTGTTTTCAATCAATTCTCATTATTTCCTCAATAGCCTTTGTCTCATTACCGCAAAGATGTTTTGCCTCTAGGTAACGTTAGCAACGCATGTTTAAGATGTTGTTTATACCAGGAGTATATCAATATCAGTTGAGACATACGTATTTTTTTAAGTTTGCCAAACATCACAGTTAAAACGGTTTCTCTGCTAATTTTATCAGGTTTGATGTTCCCTGAATTTTAAGATAAATAAATTATTACTTTTTATTTAAGACCTGCGTAATTATTTAAAAATTAAATTAGGAGCCATTTTCCTGGACATACGGTACTAAAACAGTTTTTAGTATGTGCATTTATAAAAATACGTCTTAAATAAAGCTTAAAATATGTTAGACAAGATCAACAAGGAAAGGCGGCGTTTAATGAACGCAGCCCCCAAATGACTAAGCAACATGAACTAGTGGCAAGGAGCCCAGGAGGATCCCAAACAAAAATAGGACAATACTTTACGAAGCCGTTCATGATCTGGTCATGTGCGACAGAAGGCAAGACCTGCGAAGCATTGCTAGGGAAGTCAGAATATGCTTTGGTTCAGTTCAGGCAATACTGACTGATGCCAAAAAACAGAGCATGCACCCTTGCTCACTCCCTCCAAAGAATTAGCAGGGAAGATGATTGCTTCAATCTTTTTGGATAGTCAGGGGATAAACATGATTGACTATCTTGAGCAAGGTTACGTAAACGTTACGTACGACGAATTGAGACGTCTGCGTCAAGAAATCGCGCTTAAAAGGAGGGTAAACTGACTCGAAGCTTTCTGATCCTGCACGACAATGCATCAGCTCACACATTCCAAGTTGCGATGGCTGCTGCAACTGATTGCGGCCCCATCCCCCATATTTTCCGGACTTGTTCCCCTCTGACTTCTGCCTGTTATCGAAACTGAAAACAAAGCTTCTTGGTAGACGTTTTGGAATCAACAAAGGTGTCATGGAGGCGGTCAGTGAGTTCTTTGAGGACCAAAATAGAGAGTTCTGTTTTGAAGGGTTAAACAAGTTGGAGCACAGGTGATCAAAGTGCATTGATGTAGAGGGCTGTTATATTGCAAAGTTAGACCATTAGTTGTGTTCTGTGGCTACTGGAAGTACATCGGGCCGAGAACATTTTGATCAATCCTCGTAAGAAGTCTTGACTTTACTGCACAGACAAATACTTGGTAGAGACATTACTTCACCTTAAAATCTCTACAACATGAAGATGCCGTAGTAGTTCATACATTTAATAAACATGAGAGGATATTTCACTCTTTCATTCAAAAATTGATTATCTTATAATATTAAACTATGTAATGGGTCTCATATTGACCAAACATTTTCATGAATTCAAGCAAGAACGTTGTTATGATTTACTGTAATAAAGTAAACATACATAGCAGATATATACACTCAATTACCAGAACGTTTTTACAACTTCTATCATTTTTTCGCATGTGAATGCGTTATATGGGCATAGACTTTTAATTTTCTCTCTTTTTATATTTCTCTTTCTAAAAAGATAATTTATTGTTATAATTATTGGGTAAATTAGATAATTGAAACACCAAATTGCTTTTTCCAATCTTCCAGTATTAGACTGACACCAATAAAAAATGAAATTACGTAACCTTTCCTTGGTAAAGTTTTCGCTTGTGAATAATTACCATCAGTATAATTTGTTCAAGAAATAATAAGTCTTAAAATTCCAAAATCTTTGTTTCTCAAAAGAATTTTATTTTTGGTTTTCTTTTATCGTTTCCAAAAATATACTCATCGGTCAATCTTGTGCTTCTTGGTACAGTTATAGTGATTTTTTATAAGTATTATGTACGTAAGTCAAAGTACCACTTTTTGTTTACATTTTGCTACC